CCCCCCCCCGAAAATTTTAACCCCTCCCGAAATTTTTTTCTGGCTACGGCCCTGGTTCCAGTACTTTGTTCCAAAATGCAATTCAGAAGGGACCCTTCCCAAAAGACCACCTTCACATATACTGGACCCCAACTGCTAGAATGCGGAGGGGGAGACGCTTGTGTAAATGTGAGTGTATCTTAAATGTTTTATTGACACAAGTATCTCTTTTTTTAGCCAAACTCTTAATTGGTGCAGCCCTCGGCTTGGGTAAGTTGCTTGTTTCCTTTACTTCTGAATTAAAGAAAGATGGGCCACATTCCTTTGTGCCAGCATGAGATGGGTGGGGCTGCCATCTTAGGAATCTGGCGACTTGGAAAGACTCGCACCACGGAGATTATTCATATGGTCTTTTCGTGCAGGCGGTGCTACCATTGGGGTCCCAGTGGCACTCGGGGCCCTGGGCTTCACTGCCGCGGGGATTGCGGCGGGATCGGTGGCTGCTGGAATGATGTCGAGCACGGCCATTGCCAGTGGTGGAGGAGTTGCTGCTGGTAGCCTTGTGGCCGTTGGGCAGTCCATTGGTACGTTTGGAATTTTTGGAGGGGTGATATGAACTTGCCATCAATACAGATGCACCTAGGGTCCCTTTTCCCATCTCACTCATGTCTTCCTTGGTCTTCTTTTCACCCAGGTGTTGTCGGACTGTCGGCGGCAGCCAAGGCAGCCGCCACAACGGGTGGAGCCCTGCTGGCTGCCATATTGTTTTAACAAAAAAATGCTAGACCTGTCCATCAAGAGAAAGATGCTACGCCATGAGACAGGACAACCAGCTTGAAGCAATGCTCGATTTTCCTCTTTGATAATCGCAACTGCACTTGACTCACTTGGGTCTCTTCTTCCTGTATTTTCCTGCTGCTGTGTATAAAATAATACTGAATTGATAAAGCTTTGGCAAGATCAACCAATATACTTGTGTGGTTTAATAACTAGCTGGTTTGGTATCACCAGACCTTCCATTGTTTGTAGTTGTTCATCTCCAGTAAGGAGACTATTTCAGGAATATTATCCCATTCCTGGTGGCGTAGTGGGTTTAACCCTTGTGCCGGCAAGTCTGAAGACTGACAGGTTGAAGGTTCGAATCCGGGGAGAGCTTGGATGAGCTCCCTCCGTCAGGTCCAGTTCCCCATACGGGGATATGAGAGAAACCTCCCACAAGGATGGTCAAACATCAAAACATCCAGGTGTCCAATATATTGTCGAAGGCTTTCATGGCCGGAATCACTGGGTTGTTGTAGATTTTTCCGGGCTATATGGCCATGTTCTAGAGGCATTTTCTCCTGACGTTTCGCCTGCATCTATGGCAAGCATCCTCAGAGGTAGTGAGGATGCTTACTACCTCTTACTTACTACCTCACTACCTCTGAGGATGCTTGCCATAGATGCGATCCCTCCAGGGGTCCCGACCCCCAGGTTGAGAACCACTGTTGTAGACGGTCAATTCTCTCACTCCAAAAGTGATTTGCAGTTTCTCAAGTTGCTCCTGACATGAAAAAAAAATCCCATTCCCACAATTTTCCCTTTGGTTTTATAGTGTCTTTTTAAAGAAATGTGCCCAAACATAAATGTTTTCTGACGTGACATACGTACCTCTCAAAGAAATGTATAACATCTGCATGTTTTTAAATGTAATACGCACAAAGGATGAAGCCACTTATTTAGCTTCCTCTAAAGATACATTCCTGAAAGTCCCAAAGCATAAGAGGGCTGTTGATGTGATCTGTCTCCTAGATAATAGTTGTGTTTACAAGCTTGGAGTTTACCAAATGATAAAAAGGTAAACTCCTAGGAATTCTGTGGAGAGTTTGGAGAACCATCATTGTTTCACCAGCCAGCATCTCACCTGGGGATTATGGGGGTTGCAAGTCAACATATTTGGAATGGGACTAGTAGTTTCCAACATTTGGACTTCCAGATGTTTTGGACTTCAGCTCCCACAATCTCTAATAACTGGTACGATGGCTGGGGTTTCTGGGAGCTGAAGTCCAAAACACCTGGAGAACCAAAGGTTGGGAACCAATGCTCTAGTCTAGACCGTGGAAGGTTAACTTTGGACTTTTCAGATGGTAAGGCAGTCCATTATAATGGTTCGTACTGTCTTTTAAAGGCCTGGGATGACACACACACACTATAGGATATTATGCTTCATGTTCCAAAATAACTTGGCCAGTGTTGTATCGAGGCACTTTGACTTGCGTGGAAGGAGAGTTAGTGCTCTGTTTTGGGTGGCAATATAATAATAATAATAATAATAATAATAATAATAATAATAATAATAATCTATATAAATAAAAAGCCTAGAGAAGACAATTATGCTGGGGAAAGTGGAAGGAAAAAGGAAGGGGGGCCGACCAAGGACAAGATGGATGGATGGCATCCTTGAAGTGACTGGACTGACCTTGAAGGAGCTGGGGGTGGTGACGGCCGACAGGGAGCTCTGGCGTGGGCTGGTCCATGAGGTCACGAAGAGTCGGAGACGACTGAACGAATGAACAACAACAACAACATATAAATAAAAATGTAATGTTTGGGTTGTTGTACGTTCCATTCCTTATCTATACTACCACTGGTTACAAGAAGGGTTAACAGATACCAATACCAGGGAATGGACAGTAGCATGGGTGAGGATGTAGAAAATTCACAATAAAACACTGTCAGTCCACTTATCCCTCTTTCTTAAAGTGCACAGAAAGTTATATCAACTATACAGGTAATAAAAAGTTGTTAAAGTGCAATAGGCGTAACACTTGTTGTTAAAGTGCAATGGGCATAACACAGATAATAAAAAGTTGTTAAAGTGTAATAGACATAACACTTATTAAAGTGCAATAGATATAACACTTGATTCTGACGTGTCTTCATAAAGTGCGTCATGGAGGGAGAAAAAGTGCTGAGGTAAGGCAGGTTAAAAGGACCACTTCAGTGCAAATGAGCTAAAGTGCTGACAGCTAAAGTGCTAGGATTGAAATTAAAATTTAGCAGCACCGTTCAATGTTGATAAGAATTGGTAAATTAAAGTGCCGAGCTAGGATAACAGCATCATTCAAATCGTTGATAAAAATTAATTATAGCATATAATTATAATACAATGACCACCGATGAACTAGTCCTTCCGGAGGTGGAACAGTGGGCGCGATGGTAGGCGTCACATGGATGGCAGAGATTCGACACACGTTGCACACAGGATGGTAGCGCCCCAAGGCAGAGGAATCGTCGGTCAACACAGTTAGTCCAGTTAGTCCATATAACGTACAACACACAATGACTTAGATTGCCTAACCTTCCTGCCCAAAGTTTGCCACATATTGGGTTCCCCCCATCAATACATTTCAGATCCATGGGAGATGTTTGATGTGTCTATGCTGTAGAATTAATGCACTTTGACACCACTTTATTTGTGTTGGCTCAGTGCCATGGAATCATGGATATTCATGTTTTACAAGGTCTTTAGCCTTTTCTGGCAGAGTACTGGGCAGGGGCAGCTCAACCCATTACGCAAAGTAAGCATTCGCAGTATAGTTGATTTTGCCAGGGGCGCTCTTGAAGTGCTCTTGGGGGAAAATAGACCTTGACATATGCGAGTTGTAGTTACTGGGATGTATGGTTCACCTAAAATCAAAGAACATTCTGAACTCCACCAATGATGGAATTGAACCAAATATGGCACACAGAACTCCCATGACAAACAGAAAATATATATCAATTATTGGTTGGGGGGGGGGGGTGCCAAAATACTGTTTGCTTACCATTGAAAATTACCTAGTTCCGCCTCTGGTACTGGTGCCTCACAAACTACAACTTCCTGGCCAGTATAGCCAATGATAAGGAGTGCTAGGTTAACGTCACTTGGAGAGACATACAGATCTCAGCTTGTACCTAAGGACATGGTGTATATGGTTTAGAAGCAATGACTGTGGGGGCAGTTAAAAATATAATATTAATCTATATAAATAAAAATGTAATGTTTGTTTGTAGGATTAACAGAACTCAAAAACCACTGGGGGAATTGACACCAAATTTGGACACGACACAAGTAACAACCCAATGTATGTCCTTCACTCAAAAAAACCAACGAAAAAAAAGCAGAAAGGACTTCTAAACTGCATGTCCACAAAGGAGAAACTGCATGCCCACAGAGACCCATGGCCATGCCCCCCCTCCTCGCGAGGCAACAACCGGCTGTTAAAGCATTAGGACCCAGGCGCGCGTGCACGGCCACATACACACACACACACAAGCGAGAGTGGGCATCATGGGAGTGGAGGTGGAGGCTTGCTGCATGGAGCCCCTTCT